CTCCACTAAAAATACAAAATTAGCTGGGTATGGTGTCACATGCCTGTAATTCCAGCTACTCCAGAGGCTGAGGCAGGAGAATTGCTTGAACCCAGGAGGTGGAAGTTGCAGTGAGCTGAGATCGCACCATTGCACTCCAGCCTGGGCAACAGAGCGACACTTCATCTCAAAAGAAAAAGTGAATTACTAGTATATAAAGATCAGGAAGAGCAACTTTAAGTCTTTGAAAAAAAGATGTTGCAGTGCTGGTCTTTTTTTTTTTAAAGACCAGTGGAAGTGGGAAACTTTGCCCCCACTACCACAAATTATGCAGTCGAGTTTCCCACATTTGGGGAAATCATAGGGGTCAACATATCTGGAGTGCAATAGATAAGCTTTGCCTTGGGAAAACCACCTTCGTGATCATGGTATCTCCCCTGCCAGGTAAGTAGTGCTGGCCTTATATTTCTGCACAGTAACAGTCATCAGAGGCTGGCCCCCACGTCTCCACACTCACAGAGTCCCACAGTCCTGCACCTGCTTTCCTTGGCAGTCTCTGTCTCTCTCTACCCCTTGAGTCCTGCATACTGGGTCTCTGTCTAAGACCGTTTGACAAAAGGGGGCCCACTGCTAATATATAATGTATTTGAAAACCACAGTTCTAGTCCAAACTTTCCTTATACTAAGAGGCAGCTGAAGCCCAGAGAGGTCACATGAATGGCCTAAAGCCACACAGAAACACAGGGGAGAATCACAGTCTAAGTGCTGGAGCCTCCTTCCCTTGCCACATCCCTGCCTGTCTGAGGTTGGAGTGAAGGGGTGGAGATGGCACGAGCAAAGGCCGAGTGGCGGGGTTCCCTGAGCCCTGCTGAAAGCACTACAGGCAGTCCTGACCATCCCATAGACACTACCTAGAACACAGGGCACAAGATCAGACACAGTTTGCCTGTAAATCGCCAAGTCCTAGCAAGGCCTGTGGTGGCTGGGTGACAGTTTGCCATCAGTGCTTAGTGACAGGGGTCAGAGGCAGTCCTGGAGAGTCCGATCTAGTGAGCATGCTCTGCTTGGAGCTGTTTAGAAATCCTCAGCTAGCCAAGGAAAGGAGCCAGGAGAGGAAAGCACAGGAGAGACGAAAAGAGGAAGGAGAGCAAGGGCAAGGAAGAAGACCCCCCAGGGGCTGCTCAGGGGGTGGCACCTGGGGCAACATCCCTGGTGCTCCAGTGTAGTTTTCAAACTTGCTAGGGTGTTAGAACACCAGGGACTCAAAATAAAAAAAAAGAGAGGTATTTTTTTCACTGCCTTCTTACAAGGGGCCCTTTGGCAAGGCGGTGGGTGGGGAGCGTTGGTGGCAGTGTCCTGTGCGTGCAAGCGAGGTAGCTGCAGGTGGGGGCGAAACTGAGAGATTGCGCAGCAGAGGGAGGGGAGGGGGCATCTGTGAGGCTGCAGGAGGGAAGGGGGGAGCCAGTGAGCCGGAGCATTTTGTTGGAAGAAGCTTAATGGCTGCACGATGAAGAAGGGGCATGGAAGGCTTTTTACATGGTCTGGGATGTAAGGGCCATGTGATGCAACCCTCACCTGCAGCCACTCTAGGGACTCTTCACTAAGATCAACTTTGCTCTTAACGCTTGGAAAATGGGGAGATGCAGAGCTCTTTACCCAGGTAGGCATCAGGGAAACACAGAGGCTGCACCTATGAGGGATCAGGGGCATGTCTGGGTTACATGCCGGGCTACATCCAGGATGGTTCCCCCAAGTAGTGGGATCCAGATGCCTCACAGATCCAAGCCCTGCCTGGCACCAGGCCGGGCTTGTCCCCACTCCTATCCCCAGCGTGTCTGCCCAATGTGGATCTGACCTTTTGGATGATCAGGGTCCGGAATGTCTTTCCAAAGTCAGAAGGAAGCTGTGGCGACTACTCTGAGATTAGGGGCTCAGCTTGTGGGCTGGAGGCACTATTTCAGCTACCTCCAGTGGAAATGGGGGAGCCACAGCATCACCTATACCTACTACAGTAGCTCCCATGGGGAAGCAGGCAGGAGGCTGATGTTCTAGCTAGTCTGGATGGTTTCCTAAGGTGCCTGGATCCTTCTAGGGTGGGCAGCCAAATTTACAGCTGATGCCTGGGCTGTTCAGGCCTCCCCCACCTCACCTGTAAAGACAGGGTCCCTGGAAATTAGACTCTGTCTTGGGCTGGCCAGCAGGTTAGCACTGAAGGCTCAGATGGAAGCTACATACTACCAGACACAGAGATACTATCAGGAGCCAGGAGCCAGAGAAGAGGGCTGTGAACTGCCCTGGGACTCTGCAGGGGGTGGGGCTTGGAGATAGAGCAGTGATGGAGGTGGAGGGAAAGCCTGCAAGGTATTCTTGACATGTGGATTCATACTTGACCTAGAGGTCACCAGAGCCCCTGCGTGGTGCAGAGTGCCTGACACTACTCACTCAACATTCCTGCTAACTTTCTCACCACACAGCACCAGGAAGGAGAAAGCACCTTGGCATGGGCATAAGACTGCGTAGGTGCCACTGTGCATAGGCTTGGCAAACACAGGCTCTGCTGGAGTGAGACACTTGGAAGCAGTTTACAGTGAAGCCTCCCTGGGGAAGCTCAGCCTTCAAGAGAGATCCTTAGAATCCCTGCTGGGATTTGGGAGGAGAAAGAGAAGGAGGCGGTAGCTACTCTCAGCCAACAAGGTGGGTCAGGAGAGTCTAGGGGTGCAGCTTCCAACTTGGGAGTGGGGACAGATAGAAGTGTGGCTCAGGCCCCTGAGGAGCAAGACCCCTGACCGGCCTGGACCAGGGTGGGAAAAGTCGTGTTCCCTTCTGCTCAGATTGCAACATGGGTGAGCCTGGGGCCCCAGCCATGACCAAAGACTGCAGACACTGCTTTAGGCTTGAATCACAGACTGATTAGACAGGCTACAACTACTGTACCCGCCTCTGTGTCTGTGGGATAACTGCTTGGGATTCAGTGACATGGGTGGCTCTGCCCATGAGGACAACCCTCCAGAAATTAAAATCAGAAGGAGGGAGAGGAGCCCCTCCAGACGTGGGCAGAGGCTGGCTGGGTGCCTCAGAGCCTCTAATGCAGGGCCTGAGACCCCAGAGGGAGGTACTGATGGCGGGGGAAGCTGCCTGAGACTGAGGGAGGAAGTCAACTGGAGCCACTTCCCAGACCCTCTTTCCAGATTTCCCAGGGATGAAACCCTGCCCTAGCTCGGGGAGAGGCTCCGAAAGCTGCCTTTTGCTGGGCTGAAGCAAGCTTGCATGGGGTTAGGCCGTTGGGGGAAAGACTAACCTCCTACCCTTCAAATACCCTCAAGACCAGGCAGAACAAACTTCAAGAAATGCTCCTGGAAGGAGGGAAGGGGAAGGCCAAGGATGAGGCCTGGGGACCACCCTCACTACTGCCTTTGTGCTGTCCTCACTCAATAACTTTACAGAGCCTGTGAATATTCCAGGAGAAAGAAAAGACAAAAGATTGCTGCAATCCACCTCCACGATACTCTTTCCCGTTCTAATGACATCTGGTTAACGAGGCACAAGCTGAGCCTGACCTTGCATACTAGAGGGAAGCAGAACATTAAGGAACCCCAAGGAAGCCGCAGGGGCCAGGAAGGCAGGGCTCTGTGTTTCAGGAGGGAGGAAAAAGGCCCCCTGCTGGCCTCTTGCTGGAAGGAACCCAGGGGGTTGTGTGATTTAAAGACTCCTTCATCAAATGTTTGGGAACATCTGCATTGTTCACAGAAGCAGCCACATGGGTGGCTTCTAAGAGGAGGGCAAGACAAGCATGGGAGCAGCATGCAGGGACAGTGGCGCACAGCTGGGGGGAGACAGCTGAGGGCTCCAGTACTCAAAGTAGCTGGAGCTGAACTTTTGCGCTAAATCAAACGTTACTTCATTGCGGACTCTCTAGATGCCCTGAAGGCACTGAAGTGTTAAGAACTGTTATTGGGACTGCATGCCATCCTTGGTAGGCCTGGGAGGACCCCACTTTAGGCTTGGATGCCTGGTCAGAGAATGGGAGCAACTTGAGTTGGCAAAAGTATTGGTCCAAAAATAAAATCCACATCAAGTCTAAGCTGGCTCCAGAGTCCTACTTTGTGTGGGTCCCATGGCCACTGTGTGCTGGGCCTGCTGGTTAGCAAGTACAGAAAGCTTGGCCCAGGGTGGGAGGGTGCCTCTGAGCCCCAGCCCCCTGCACAGAGGCCGCCACAGGATGCACTGGCCCAAGGCAGACAGTGCCAGGAAGAGCATGCAGATGACATATTTGCTACCGAAAGTGTACATACAATCACACTGAGCCCCACTCCTCACCACGGAAGGCCCTAGCGGGTTCCAGTGAGTTCCAGGACAGCATGCCCCCCTCATGCCCACCTCATGCTGTGAGCACCTGACGGGCCACAATGGTAGGTTAGTGGCTGTGGCCTCAGATCTGCCGCTGGTGGGGAAACCATGCCCCAAGACCCCAGCTTGGCACAAACCTGTCCTCATGTCCAGGGCTTGTTCTTTCTTTCAGCAGGTATCATGCTTTTAGCAGTTTACAGAGCTGGTACCTCAATGTAGGTCTGGACAGGTAAGTCGGGCGTTCATGTCCAGCACAGCCCCCTGCGTACCTGTTTCCCAGTGCCCAGCCTTGGGACTCACAGGGGGACAGGCCTTGAGATGAGTGGGTGGGCAAGGTGGCCAGCCGGGTGTCCTCACAGGGAAAGATGCCCTCATTCTCAACAGCCCAGCAAAGGCCAAAGCAGCCCTGCCCCCTGCCCAGGGATTAAGCTGGGAGAGCCCAGGGCCTTTGCTCCTGTAGCCTGGGCCTGAGGTACAGAGACTTGGGTCCAGGTGCTCCCCTCACTGACCCAGGATGCTGCCTCAAGCCACTGTCAGCTGCAGCCCTTTGCAGGCCAGGCTTTCCAAATCCATGAACTTGAGAGGTTCCTTCCATGAGTCATGTGGCCTGGGGGCTGCCCAGGGAGGGAAGGGGCTAGAGGGCAAGGCCACAGAGCCTGAGTCCAGACACTTACCTTGACCTTCGCAGAGCTTCTTCATCAGGGTCTTGCACTGTGGGTAGAAAGGAGCGGGTCAGGGGACACAGGAGACACAGCAAGGAAAGCTGCTGGGGCTCTGAGGGCACTGAGTCCCAGGATTCAGCCAGGCCCTGTGCGGTGACTGCCCCCTCACCTGTGCACTGTGTGCTGGGCAGAGGCCCCAGAGGACACTGGGAAAGAGTCAGGGGGTGGCCTGTGAGGGTCTCATCCCAGCCCTGGGCAGTCATCTTGCCCGGAAGCTGCTCACCAAGCCTACCACTCACTGTTGGGAGTTGGCCTTGGAGCAGAAGGCTGCTGTCACTGGACAGTCCGCCTGAGGGGCCCAGAAGAAACCCTGCTGGCCGCGGGCAAACCATCACGGCCAGTCCACCTTCAAGGGCAGGGAGCAGGACTCCCTGACTTCTGCAGCGCTGGGCCCAGGCCCCTGGTGGCCCCTCAGCATCTCCTTTCTCTGCGCCCACCCTGAGAGCCTGCACTCACTGAATTCGGTCCCTGTCATCTGGGCCAGGATGCGGAAGGAGCGAGACTGCAGGTTGGAGGAGCGGCGGGCCCACTCGTCAGCCTCGTCTTCCGGCTTGTTCTGGTTCTTAATCACAGCCTGGTACACGGGAGAGGTGCTGTCTACGGTGAGGTCCTTAACAGGGAGGCTCCTGCAATGCAGAGAGAGGCCGTGGGTGAGGGCTAGGCTGGAACCTGGCTCCCACCCCGCTGGGGCCCTGCTCCATGCCCACTGGTGGCCCCTATTGTTCTGTCCCCACCTTGCCTTTACCCACTGCTGTCTGAGAACCCCAAGACACGGGCATGACCTGGGTCCTCGGTGCTCAGTGTGGTCGCAGTAAAGCAGTTACTCCTCTCCCTTGTGAGAGGCAGGAAGCTCAGGTCCCTCAGGTCTGCCCTTCCTCTGTGCTCGCTCCAGGCCTAGGCCCAGAGACATCCCCACCCTCAGATCCCCTTTACAGAAGGAGGAAACAGAACAGGTCTTCCTTGACCTCCCTGAGCAGGCCATGAGTTTGGACCTGGCTGGGGACAGGACATTTGGGGGACCCAGAGGCTTCCTCAGGGTCCATCTGCTGCCCTCCTCATACTTTTGGGTCCAAACAAGGAGCTGCCAGTGCCGGGTCTGTCCTGGAAGAGGACGGGGGTCAGTGTGAGCAAGTCGACTCTGCCGGGAGGCGGTAAGAAACTAGGCAGCAAGGCATGGCCCCGGTATGGCCTATAGGGACAGGGGATTTCTGGCCTGGGGAAGTTGGGAGTGGGGCTGCATGGGAGCCACTGGTCCTCTGTCCCAGGGAAGCACAGCCCTTTGTAGGAGACCAGGTGACCTTCCGTTAGACTCCCAGGGTCTGGCACATGGTAGGGGCACAAAGCTCTTGGCTGAATAAACAAATCCTAGATCAGAGCCAGAAGGGACCCCAGAGACCCTCAGGCCCAGTGCCTCCCAGCCTGAATCAGACCGCAGTGCAGGCCATGACGGAAAGGTGCCCACTCACCCTGGCTGGGGGGCCAGAGGACCAGGCTGCCCAGCCCACCTTCTCAGAGGCCTGGGAGGACTCAGGTGAAGCCCACAGCAATAACAGACTGCTGGCCCAGCCCTCTCCTCTACGGATGCTGAAACTGAGGCCCAGAGAGGCCAGCCAACTAGCTCGAGGTTACAGAGGATAGGAGCCCCACTGAGCGAGAACCTAGGTTTCCTGGCTGCTAGCCCTGTGTCCTTTCCATGAGGCCCCCTGTAGTCATAGGGCTCAGGAAGGCTGCTTCTGCCTATGGGAGGCCCTGGATCTGTACCTGGAGACATGCCCTGTCCAGCACTCTCCTGCCTGCCTCTCCCTTTCCCCCAGTGGGCTGGTTGGCTGGGAGAGGAACCTTGCCATTGTGCATGTCTCATACGCTCCCTGCAAGGAGTGGGACAGGGAACTGGTCTAGTCTCCCAGGACTGGTCCCTGTGTCTGGCTCAGGGTGGGCTATAAAAGCATAGGTGCAGAAAGGCGATTGAGGTTGGGTGGAGTGGCCCTGACTTCTCTGAGGGCCCTGCCCTGGCCCAAAGAGCTACAGGTACACTGGTGGCCTATGGTTGGGATCGGATGGGAAAGACCAGCAGAGGCCTCTGGGGTCCAGCCAAGGAGGAGCCTGCAGCTGCCCAGGAAGCAAAGGAGAGGGTGGGATCTTGCTGTTGGCTGGGACAGGCCATTTCTGGCATAGGGAGGAGTCCCAAAGGTTCCTGAGGTCTGGGTGAGGTGGGCAACAGGAAGTCACAACCAGGTCTCCGGGGTCCTGGCTCCTGTCCCACTGGGAGGGGAGGGAAGGAGGGAAGGAAGGTGTGGTTGCAAGGCCCTTGAGCCTCTCTATGAGGCTTTGCAATCCAGAGAGTGGATGGAAGGTGTTCGCTGCTGTTTCCACGGAACATGCCCAGGAGGAGCTCCCCTGTGCCTTTCTTGGCTCCAAGGGCTCAAGAAAGCTGCCAGGAGTCAGTCCCCTGGGACTCAATGTTTCTGGCTTCATTTCCCACCACCCCATGCAAAGACAGGGGACTTGTGTTGCTGCCGTGACCAAGACTGGGAGTCAGATGAGGAAAATGCGGTGCCCTCATGATATCAAGGCTCAGGGAGAATATATGCAGAGAAGATGGACTAGGTCCTGCAGGCCTGGGGCCCTGGCCAAGGCCACTCTCTGGACCCACTCCCAGCTTGTTCTTCTTGCCACAGAAAACACTCCCTAGGGTCACCGTTGCATTTACTTCACTGTGTGCAGTCCTCAAATCTGATTCATCTTTCCCCTCCCATGGGTGGTCATGGCAGGCACTGGCTCCTGCAGAGCCACTTCCCATGAAGATTCCGGGGAGTGGTCTCCAAGAGGTTACCTTGCCACCTTTAGCCATGAATAATGTCCCAGTGTGGATTCTAATGTCCAGGTCTACAGTGTCTCAGTGCAGATAGAAAAGGCGTGGGGAGCTGCCCCAAAGCATGGCAAAGACAACACAGGTATGCACCCCCAGCCTGGGGAGCCTGCAGCATGAGTGTCATTACTCTGTGATTTTGTGACCATGGTGATATTGTTTGGGACAAAACCTAAGAGACAAGTACTTGCCTGTGCAGGCTGCAAAGGATGTCATTTGGCTGAGAGGTGGGTGTGAGGAGGTGTGAGGAGGAGCGTGGACAGAGCACGTGGGCTGACCACTAGTCCTCAGACACATCCCACCAAACCCACATACCATCCCACAACCAGACAGATGGACGACGGGACAGACACTGCGGGGTCTACTTACACCAGCGGTGACGCCCTGCCAAGCAGAGGAAAATTCAGCCGTGAGTGCGCGTCCATCATGGGATAGCAGAGGGGCAGCGCACACAAGAGAGCCAGGTTAGGGTCAGAAATGAGTTATGGGGATGGGGTGGGTGAAGGAGGAAGAAAAAGAGAAAAAATACGGTCAGTGAGGAAGGAACCATGGAAATTAACAGCAGAAATGGGAGCATGTTATGGCCGAGAGGTTACTCACTGGCACCACGGCATCATCAGCCCAGCGTGGCCGCATTAAGAGGAAGGGGAGAAGAGGACCCTTTCCAGGCACGCCAGAGGAGGAATAGGGAGGGGGTGGGAGGAGACAGGAGGGAGATGGGAAAGGTTCTTCGAGAAGCCTCGATTAATCAACAGTGCATCAGTTCCAAAACTGATGGGTGCCCTAGTGGTGAGACAAAATGATAGCAGTCTTCCCAACGTGCAGACAGCAGAAAGTTAGTGAAGAGCAGTTCTTCCATTATTTTCCGCTGAACTTCCCTTTGGCGACTGCTGCTACTTTTAAGAGCACACTGAGGACACACGTGACAAAGAAATGTTAACAGGAAATCCCTGTTAGCTCTGGGGTTTAGTCAGGCAGCCTTGTTTTTCTGGTTACGCATGAGCTAATGGTTGTGTTTTTAAACTTGCAGGATCATATTTTCTGCTCTGAATGATGGAATTCAATCAACCTTGTCCAGAGTTATGCAAAGAGCAGTAGCCCTGAGCCTTGGGAGTTTGACTTGAAGTTCCAGGACAGGCAGCCTCTGCTCTCTGGTGGCCTAGAGGAAGTACTGCATCTTTGAGAGGGTCCCAGGCTCCCCAGTTCCAGCAGAGCCCAGGGAGCCCACACTGTTCCACCCTTGGGCCTGGGGAGCCTGCTGTTTATAAACTGCACGCACATCAGGGCCACAAAAGCTGGGCTGGGCTCTGGAGCGGCCAAGCACAATTGGGTTCTCTGGGATTTTTTTAATCCCTCCATCCCTCTTATTACATGTTTTCCTGGCTTTGGGAAAAAAAGCATCGCCATCATTTCAAGACTTTCTGCCATGAGTTCCGAGGGGATCCTGACCCAGATTGATAATCAGCCAACACTGTGGTATTCCCAAGTTGAAAACAGTGAGGGACTCTGTGTGTGTGTGTCTGTGTGTGTGTGTGTGTGTGTAAGAAACAACAGACAGACACACACACAAGAGAGGGAGAGAGGGAGAGAGAGAGAGAAAGAGCGACAAGGAGGAAGACAGAAAGAGAACACAGAGAAGGAGACACAGAGACACACAGAGAGAGGTCTGTCTGCATGAATGTTTGCATTGCTAGCATTTTTCATCCACAAATGATTTTCAGCCAACTCTTTTTTTCACCACCCCTCAAATTCCCCAACCATAGCTAACGGGTGAATTCCAGGAACCAAGGATGTCTTAAATGCCACTGCCCTGAGGCCAGGCTTCCTGGGGCAAAGAGGAGGGGATTGCTGCCATCAGTGGGGCTGGTTGCCAGCACTACTGTGGATGGTTGGTTGCAGACCCCTTCCCAAACCAGAAACCCAGTGAGTGTATTTGAATTGATTCTCAGCGCTGGAAGAACCTGGCAACGTCCCCCTCCCCAAAGGACAGTTTTGCTGTGAGAGGCCTGGGGGCCTCCAGAATGGTCCCCTTGTTAAGAGCACTGTAGAAGTCTCTTCTTACGCCAGCCTCCTCATGGAGCCTGGGAAATGCAGAGGCTGTGAAAAGCACTTTGAAGAGCTATCATTTTCTGCATTTCTCCACCCCTCTCCTAAAGCTGACCGTGGAGAGGGTCTGAAGAGAGGATACCCGTGTTCCAGAAGGCCCTGGTGAAGGCTGGCTCCCCTCCAAGGGCCACGCCTCCAGGAGGTCCAACATGAGGGAAGAAAGCTGGTCCCGATGGCGCCCAATGGCCCAGACCCCTTGGGCTCTGGAGGCGCTGAGTGGCAGTGGAGGAGGGAGGTGCTTACCCACTGAAGTCACTGCCCTGGGCCTGGGCCTGCCCTGCGATGGCATCCATGATGGCGTCCTGGGAGTACATGCTGATGGGCGTGTTGTACTGTGCGTGGATGATGGTGGCCTTGCCGCCCAGCCCCTTCACCTCAATGGGCTTGTGGGTGGACAGGGCCGAGTCCTTCAGGGCGCTGGGGTTGAAGCGTTCCTGGTAGTCGGCGCTGGGAGAGGGGTGCGGGAGTGCGGGCAGGGAGTGGGAGGAGAAAAGGGCAACAGGGGGTGGTTACATGGGTGACCAAGGCAAGGGCTGGGCGTGGTGGGTGTCGAGAGATCTCCCAGAGCCGATGCCCTCATCCCCCGTAGGCTACACAAGCCTCCTGATGGTGGATGGTCTGGGTCTACTGAGGAAAATCCTTGGTGCCCTCCCACAAAGCCCAGTGCAGAAGGTTTTCTTTTTCCTTTCTTGGTTTTTGTTTGTTCGTTTTTGTGAGACAGGGTCTCGCTTTGTTGCCCAGGCTGCAGTGCAGTGGTATGATCTCTGCTCACTGCAGCCTCAACCTCGTGGGCTCAAGTGATCCTCTCACCTCAGCCTCCTGAGGTAGCTAGGACCACAAGCATGTGCCACTATGCCCAGCTAATTAAAAAAAAATTTTTTTTAAAGACAGTCTCATCATGTTGCCCAGGTTGGTCTTGAACTCCTGGCCTCAGGCTGATCCTTCTGCTTCGGCCCCTCACAGTGTTGGGATTACAGGCATGAGCCACCATTCTTGGCCATAGAAGGGTTTCCTTGCCCACCTCAGTGTTCCCAGATGCCCTGCAGGACCTGACTCAGCCTGAACTCCCTCCCAGGGTTCTGCAGGGGCTGCCAGGCACAGAGAGATCTCCCACCACACACAGCAGGGGGAGTGGGGGCATGGGGCTGGGGTAGGGGATGGGAACAGCGGCCCAAGCTGAGTCCAGAACTCCCCAAAGGCGAAAAGCGGCTCCACTGGGCACCCACAGGGATTCTGAGCAAGCTTCCTCCATGAAGGGGCTCTTCCTGCAGGCTACTCCCTTGGCGGCCCAGGGCTCTGCTCTTCCAGACGCTTCAGGACATGTGCTTCTTCCTCAGAGCAGGGCTACGACTGCCCAGACCCCTCAAGTCCAGCTTGCCGTGTGGCTGGCCAGCCTCTACCCAAGGGAGGCTCTTCCCTCCAACAGATAGATGCGCTCCCCGGGCACACAAGATCCAGTGCAGCCCTCCTGAGGGGTCGCCAGGACAGAAAGGTCTTCAGGCCCACACAGGCCCAGCAGCAGCACAGCATTGCGACCCACCCCCACACCATCACCAACCCCAGGCGCGTCTTAAGCAGCTGCAGCAGGAAATTGGGAATGAATTAGAACCATCAGATGGAGCCCGCACCCCCATCCCCAAATGCTTCTACTCTAGCTTCACACACATGCAGGCTCACCCAGGGGCATGAGTGCACCCCACTCATACATATGCACACACATGTACACATGCCAACAGACACATCCTATCCACACCAGACACACGCAGACACATGCTGGGGCGGGCACGCAAGCGCACACACATGCTGTCCTTTGATACTAACTTGGCTGGAGAGTTGGGTACCACCTGGGGAGGAAAAGGGCAAAGAAGACAGGGTGGTCAGAGGGAGGCTCCGCCAGGGGGAGGAGTTTGAGCTCCAGGACCATCCTCAGCCTGGTCGTTGTGGAGGCAGAACCAGCCCAAACCGCACTGGGTGAGGAGAGCAGGGAGCGGGGAGGGAGAGCTGAGCTGGGAATCGCAGCATCCGGGACCCTCGGTTTTGTTTAGAGACCGACACTGCCGTGTTTTCCTCTCAGGGGGGCCCCCAGTGCCCTCTGCTTTGTCAGAAGTAGGGTTTTCTTGTCCATCTTTGTGAGCACTTGTACCACGTACATGAATCCCCCCATACAAGTCTGGCTATAGACCCCAGAGAGGAAGCTGGGCATGGAGACAGGAACAGCTGTGGCTGCTAAGGGAAAGACTGAGGCCCAGGGGCCTCCCTGCCCATCAGCAGCTCTGGACTCAGAGTCTGTTTTGTGGGGGCAGCTCTGGAGTTCTGTCCTGAGCAGGCATTGCAGTGGCGTGGATGGTAGGGTGTGCACGGGGTTACCTATTCCTCCACCAAGCCCTGACCTCCTCTTCCTCCCGGAAGAGACGCAGGCAGCTCTGGCTGCTTCTCTTTGGGTATAGGGGAGTGGGGTGCACAGTCCCCAGGGACCACTCCTAAAGGCCCTGTGGGCTAGCAACGAGGCAGGATGGAGGAGCGAGGAGGTGCAGGGAGAAGTGTCAACTCAAGGCTTGCTGAAGGAAAGCGACCAGCCGAGGCAGCCCAGCTTGGACAGCGCAGTGAGAGGCCCCTGCCTCTCACTCTGACCCGAGAGTGAGCCTCCCAGAGCATGGTCTCTGTAGGGAAAGCAGTGTCTGTCTTGTGTTTCTTTAAATGCAATTTTCCTGCAGTGGCAGACCCTGTGGCCAGCGGCCCTATCTGGGGCCTGTGAGGGAGACAGTGCAGAAGCTGGTGAGATCTTTCCCCAAACTCTGCCACCTGCTTGAATCTGCCCAGTATGGGCTCTGGCTGGAGGATCCTGGGCCCCGGCCGGCCTGGCCCTGGTCATTTGCAGCCAAACCCTGGGGAGCCAGGCTCAAGTCAGTGGTCCTTGGCCCCAGCAAGCAGCACCGTGGGCCCTGCTCTGCCCCAGGTCTGCCACTGCCTCAGAACTGATAAAATTCCCTCTGTCTTCCCAGACTCAAAATAGCTGCAAGAGGAGCTATATTAGGAAAGGGCCAGCACGGAGCCCCATTCCTTCTCCATTTTTGGCCGGTGCTGACAGCTGCAGGGTCAGCTCTTGCCCTGACCAGCCCAGTGCCCCCTGCAGAGGGCAGTGTTGGCCTGGCGAGGGTGGGGGCTGCCTCTGCCCTGCCTTGGCAGCCTACTCCTTCTTTGGCATTGATTCCTGCCTCCCCTTTAGCTTCTCCCACCCAGGACCTGGGGCTGGGATGGCTGCAGCAGACACATCTGAGAGGTGCCAGTGCCTGGGTCTTGGGGAAGATGAACTAAAGATGCAAGACCTGCCCAGGGGCCTTTGCACTGCGTGGCCTGAGGAATACTGTCCTTCAGCACCAGCCCCAGAGCAGAGGAGAAGAAGGGGGCTGCAGGGATGCCCATGCCTGCCTGCTCTTGCATCATGTCTGTTTCTCTCTCCTCCTTCCAAGAGGATACGAGCTGCAAGGAATTGCACTGCAAGCTGCCCAGAGGAGACAGCAGCAGAAGGGGCTTCCTTTTGGAGCCAGACAGGAGAGTTCAAGTCGTGACCCTGCCTCTTCCTAGCATTGTGACTCTGGGCAAATTACCCACCTGTCTCAGCCTGTTTCCTAATTCTTTATATTGAGATGTAGTGTCTACCACACAGGTGGGTCGTGCAGACTGAACGGGTCCTGAGTCTAAGGTGCTCAGCACGGGAGAAGTATGCCGTGGACAAGCTCAGGGATTAGCACTTGCTGACCCTGTTGCCTGTGAGCAAAGGTGTTGGCCTCAGCCCAGCAGGGGTTGCCCTAGGCTAGCCCAGGTCAGACGCTCTAGCCCTTCCTGCCGGCATGGCCTGGAACAGCAGTATCAGCTTTCACTTTGGATAATGCACCCACTGCACACCCTCCCTTAGCCCACCATCCCTTGGAGGAAACTGTCAAACTCGGCAGCTCTCAGCACTAAGTAATAATTTACACATTCTTCAGGGTCTGGGCAGCCCCTGTACCAGCGGCAGGGTACCTCAGGCACCATGGGAAGTACAGGTGGGCCTGGCTCCTCACTTCCCTGAGCAGGTAGACACGTCCCTGTCTCAATGCAAAGTGGAGTCAGGCAGACCTGCGCGCCAGTTCTGTCTACCATTTACTAGCTGTGTGACCTTGGGTAAATCACTTGCCTCTCTGAGCGTCTATTTTCCAGCTATAAGATGGGGGAAATCATGCCCACCTCTGGAGTTGCTGAGAGTTGTGTTAGAGAGAGTTGCTGAGAGATAAGGCATGTGGACTGTTAGCTGGTCCACAGGCAGAGAGCAGGGTCGGAATGCGGAGACATTATCATCGTTGCAGGTGAGTCTCCTGGGAGTCCCAGGCCACCAGAGGCTGACCTCCCTGCCTGGGGCCAGTCCCTGGAAAGGACCAGGAAGACCTACCAGCCCAACAAAGGTGGGACAAGGAGGCCACCTCTGTTCTACTGTTCCCTGAGTTTTCTGGCAAAAGTCCTTTACTGGGAAACCCTGGGGGTGTATATAGGTCTGTCACCTTGGGTAAGGGAAGCAAGCTGTGTGGTGCCAGAGGTGAGCTTCACTGAGGATCCCAGAAAGAGCTGGGGAGCTGGAGAAGCTGAGGGCCACGGGGAGCAGTGGCCTGATGCGGCACAGGTGCTTTCTGCTGCAAGGGCAAAGGGAAGGGCATGGGCCTGGGCCAGACTGACCAGGTTCCTACTGTGACTCTTCTGGGTGGCTCCAGGCCAGAACTTTGTTCAGGAGGTGAAAGAACAAAGCTCAGAGCTTTACAAGTGTTGGGTCCTTTATCCTCCCAATAACCCTGAGACATGGACAGTGTGATTCTTCCATGATTCGGAAGAGGAACCCTGAACTGCTAGGCTCTACTGCTTCGACTCAGCCTGCCCTGACCAGAGAGCACTATGCCAATTGCACAGGACGGGAAGAGAAGTCAGGGTGAGAGAATAAGTGTGAAGGGCTCGGCTCTAACACAGGCCCAATGTGGGGACTCCGTTCCCTTGGCCCCCTCCACAGTGCCCCAGCCCTGTGTCCTTTTAACTGTGTGCTCCCAGAGTCCCCCCAGACCTTGGGGGTGAGGCTGCTGTTCTCCTGCACAGCCCCTTTCTCTTTTGGGTCTGCTTCCTTGCAGCCCCACCCTGGCCAAGGTCAGTCCTGCAAACCTGCTCCCGGCATGCCACTGCCCAAGAGTCTCTCAATATACAGCTAAGGGGCTCCCTCCTCTAGGCAGCTTCCCAGACTATACCTAGTCCCAGAGAACTTGCTTTTCCACCTCTGGAACTCTTCCCTGCTCCTGCCTCCATCCTCCCAGGGGGTGGGGACTCCATTAATGAAGGCAGCAGGCTGTGCTGTCTTGTTCTGGGGGGTAGCCTAATGAGAAAGTTTTGGTCTCCTGCATTCAGGACTGGCTTGGCCATGTGGTAGCTGGACAAATGGACTGTGACTTAACCTTCTCTGAGCCTCAGTTTCCTTCTCTGCAAAATCCGACATGTCACCCTAGGGTGGTTGTATAAAATGCTGGTGCGCCTGGCTCACGGCACACGCCTCAGGATCATCGCTGGCCTCATGGGCTCGGGGCTGGCTGGATTGGGGCCAGCGCCTCACTCTGACCACCTGACCAGGCGTCTGCTGAACACCGAGGACCCAGGTGGCCCAGGCCACGCACGGAGAGCTGCATGCCCATTACCTACCCTCCTGGGAGTCCGGCACCTGAGGCCTTCCCTCGGAGGCTCATCTTGTACATCTGAGCCATCTCCCTCAGGGTCTCTGCCGAGTACAGGCCAATGGGGTTGTTATACTGCCTTGGCTGGCTCGAGCCCGGCAGGGCTTTCGGGCTGAGTGGGTCCCAGGCCCCCTCCGGGCTGGTCTTGGCCCTCGGGCTGGCCCATGGAGGGCCAGGGTCAGAGGCCTCGGCGAGTGAGGAGAAGGCGGAGGGCCGGGAGAAGGCAGGGCTAAAGGTGGGCCTGAGCTCCGGGGTGCCGGGGGTGCCCGGGCTGGCCCTTGCCTCGGGGCTGGGGCTGGGTGCCGCCAGGCTGCCGTTCGTGTCCAGAGTGGGGTCCTGGCACAGGGCAGGCCATGCAGGGGAGAGAGAAGAGAGCGGTTAGAGGCCACATGCGTCCCAGCGCTCCTGTGTGGACCTGAAACAGATGCGTTAGTGCTAGCCCCACAGCCTGAAGCCCAGAGCACCTGGGTGTGGCACCTGGAAAGGAGCACGCTGGCGGAGGAGCGCACAGGCACATGGCTCCTGGCCCGTCCCGAGACTGGCATCCAGCTGGGCAGAGTGCCAAGCCCTGCATGGAAGCCAAGCCAAACTTGCCGTCCCCCATGGCCCAAGGAAGTGGGTACAGGGCTCAGGGGATAGCCTGTTATGTGTCTGTTCCCCCTGCCCTTGAGAGTGGCACCCAGTGGGCACAGCCCAGCCTCCTGCTCCACTGACCCCACACAGCCAGTGAGATGGAATCCCTGGGCTGGCTGTGGGCAGGTGGCGGGGAGGTGAAGAGGGAAGCTGAGGAAGTGGGTAGCTGACATTTGGGGTCCTCAGTTCACCTCTGCATCTTCCAAGCAGCCCTCCACCCACTCTCCCAATCTGTGAACTACCCCACCCTGGTTAGCCTCTTTTTTCTCCCAGCCCCCCCGCCCAATCTGCCCCACTGGACAGGTGGGTTCACTGTGAGCCCGTGCAGCGGGAGAAGTTGTGCAGGGAACCCTGGGGGTTGAGCTGCTTAGCAAGGCCTGGGAAAGCCCCAGGCAGTGGTGAGGTCTGGAGCCAGGGCTTGGCCTCCCTTCTCCCCCGTGCCTGCCTCAAAGGCCATCGCCAGCGTGTCCTAAGGGCTACAGGGGCATGCACTTGGGAGGGGCAGGTGGGGAAGTGGAAACCAGAGGGAGAGATCTGGGTGGGGGAAAAGCCTGAGGCTGGCAGGCCTTTCCACGCCGGGAGCTCCTCCTCAAGCTGGCCTTGGCCATAGGCACCTAGTCCCAACCCCTTCGGCAGATGAGGGTCAGAGCCTGGATGCTCATCCCCTGTTTGGCCGGGAGGGGTACCCTTCCCCTGAGAATATTGCTGTCCAAGCTGGTTTCCTATCAGCCCAGCCACGAGGCATGGCAAGGGTGGCTTGCACCCAGGCCAGCATTCCCACATCCAGTAGTCAAGAGTGGCTTGAAAGCCTCTCCCAAGGGCCTGCCTCACTTTCCCAGGGTCAGCCGCAGCAGGGGCAGGGATCGGCCCAACTGGGCCAGCCAAAGACCAGGCAGGCTGACCAGGGCCAGCACTCCAGGAACCACAGCTGAGTGGGCCCCGCCGCCACAGTCAGCACCTACCTTCTGGTGGGGAATCACCGGCAGAGGGGACTGGACTGGGGGTGCTGTCGTGGAGATGGGAATGGGACGCTTCGATCTGCAGAAACCAGAAATGAGATCAAGTGAGGAAGTTGCTTCTGGAGCCAGGAGCTCCTGCCTGGGCAGCGCTGGTGAGGGGAGAGCGAGAGAGAGCTGGGCAGCTGAGCCAGAGGGCCCCACATCCACTGTCCACCCCATGTGGATCTCCCCAAGAAGGCCCTGGGCCTGACAAGGATGGAGAAGTCATGGCCCTCGGGCACTTCGGTCAGCATCCATGGGCCCCTGCTATGTCACTGGGAGCTGCTGGGCAAAGTGGAAGCAGGGAAGATCTGGCTTCCAGACCCGATGGCCCATATATGGGCAGCTCCAGGACCACCCTCTCAGCCTCATCTGTAAAGTGAGGCAGTAATACCAGCCTCTAGGTGCTTGACAATGACCTGAGCCTGGTCCTTCCTCTGGCACAGGGCTGTCCTTACCTTCCTGCACAGTTCTGTAGCCCAGATCTGGGCCCACTCAATTGCTATGGGACAATCCCTCTTTTGGCCCCCGCCCTAGGCCCACACCCAAGCCTCCGCCCCCTGCTCTGGAGAGCTCCCACCTACTTCTGCAGGGTGAGGCTCAGGTTGTAGCTGGCAGACTTGATCTTGTTCTGGGCCTCCAGGTGGGTCATGGTGTCAGTGTTGACGCCGTCAATGGCCACCACGAGGTCGCCCTGGCTGAGCTGGGACTGGGCTGCCTTGCTGCCTGGTGTGATCTGATTGGACAGCAGAGGTGGGGGGTGAGCATAAGGAAGGTGGTCCTGAGGACAGGCCAGTCCTTAGGGAAGAGTCACTGGGAGCATTTAGCAGACACCATCATTTTGTCTTTCATTCGTTACGGCCAGTACCAGCTGCTTACCAAGCCTAGTTCCTCTTCCCAGCATGTGGCTACCACAGTTCCTAGAGCTCTGTGTCTGACTGAGGCCATGGGACTAGCTCTGGCCGATGGAATGAGGGTGGAAGCAAGGTACGCCCCTTCCAGGTCTGCCCTTAGCAACCTTCCTTGTGATCCTGCACACTCACTGCTTGACGGACTGAATGCAGAGAATGGAGAGGAGGAGAGGTGTTTAAGGAGCACTGTATTGGATGTTGGATTAATGAGAAACTTTTGTTGTGCTGAGCTATTAAGGTTTGGAGGCTGCCGGACATGGTGGCTCATGCCTGTAATCCCAGCACTTTGGGAGGCTGAGGTGGGAGAATTGCTTGAGGCCAGGAGTTTGAGGCTAGCCCAGGCAACATAGCCCAGACCCTGTTTCTACAAAATTAAAACTATTTAGCAGGATATGGTGGTGCATGATTGTAGTTCTAGCTACTAAGGAGGCAGGTGAGAGGGTCACTCTAGCCTAGGAGTTTGAGGTTACAATGAGCTATGATTGTGCACCACTAAATTCCAGCATGGGTGACAAAGGAAGACCCTGTCTCGTAAAAATATTTTGCAGGCGGCCGGGTGTGGTGGTTCATGCCTGTAATCCCAGCACCTTGGGAGTCTGAGGCAGGTGAATCACCTGAGGTCAGGAATGTGAGATCAGCCTCGAACATGGTGAAAACCAATGTGGTCAACATGGTGAAAACCTGTCTGTACCAAAAATACAAAAAAATTAACTGGACATGGTGGCGTATGCATATAGTCCCAGCTACTTGTGAGGCTGAGGCAGGAAAATAACTTGAACCCCTGATTGAACCCAGCAGGTGAAGGTTGCAGTGAGCTGAGATTGTGCCACTGCACTCCAGCCTGGGTGACACAGCGAGACTCTGTATCAAAAAAAAAAAAAAAAAAAAAATTGCTGGCTATTTGTAACCTTGGTTAGCTTCTTATAACCCCTGCAGCTTGCAAAGCTATGGAGCACTTTTCAGACTGCAGGAGAAAAAAGAGATGCAGGAGCTAAGACACTGCAGCATCCGAGAGATACTGCCAGGCACCCACTCAAAAGCATCTTAGTCCCAGGTGCTTTGTGCTACCTGACAGATGTGGAGAGGGTGAGGTAGCCAGCAACCCTGCCTGGGCGAGCAAAGTTGGCTGGGAAATAGGGCAGGGCTTAGGGTTCTGTAATTGGTGTCATACCGCTAGAAGGTGGGGTGCAGGTGTGGGGGCCAGTTCCCAAATCCTGCGCCCCAATAACATCACAGAATGTTACAGTCTGGAGGCCCCATCTTCAATGTAACCACACAGAATGCCACTGCAACTCCACCCTGGGAATTCCCCATGGGATCTCAGGAAGGCCACACCTCCTGGAACACTACTTGGGATGTCATCATGGCTCAGACTGCACTCTCGGTGACATCATGCACGATGCCAAATTCTGCACACCAAGCCTCCAGTAACAGCACGCTGAATACTGTGGCGGCCCCACCCACAGCGATATCACACGAGATGCAGAATTCCAGAGGGTCTAATGATGTCACCTAAAATGGCTTGATGGCTGGCCCCTAGTGACATTAGTAGCCCCACCCCCAAAGATACCTCATGGAATGCCAGAGACTCTGGCGGTACCCCTATGACATCACATGGAATGCGCTGGCCCCTGCTAATCTCACATAGAATGGCTTTATGACCTGACTCCCACCACACCATGTTGGAGGTCCCCGACCCCCATGACATCACGAGGAGTGCCATGCAGGCCTGGCCTTCAGTGACATCACAGGAAAGAGGAGGCTCTGGACCCCACCCCCAGCAAGCTGTGGCTGGAGGTATTCCTTGGCTTCGCCTCCCAAACATGCCCACCAGCCAGTTCTCTGGGCTTCTCTGGGTACATCCCAGTCACCTTTCTGGCTACAACCCAAGGACTAAGCCAGTTCCTAGCACTGGCAGAAGCTAGATTCAGGCCAAGTCCTGAGAACCATCCTAGATGGTGCCCAGAGAGGCTCTGGGGACAGTCCCTTGCCCCAGGTGCCAAGTCTGGCTGTGGCTCTGGCCAGGCCCTGGGCTTATAGACATGGATGGAAGTTCCTGCCAGGTCCCTCACAGGGAAGCCCCTTCCAAACCACGATGCCCTGCAATCACCAGTCACCAGTGCCCAGCCCACTCCCAGATGGGCTCTGCAGATGCAGCCCAGGAACTGAATTGTCTCTGCATGGCCACGTTACCGGTCACAGAAACACTGCCCTACACTACGTGGGTGATAAAGCAAGACCGGGAGAGCCCTCTCCAAATGCTGTTAATCTGCCATTTCAGCCTTAGGGACTATGGTGCCCCCCTCCCGCTTTTTTTTTGAGCCATGGTCTCACTCTGTCACCCAGGCTGGAGTGCAATGGCGTGATCTCGGCTCACTGCAAATTCCGCCTCCTGGGTTCAAGTGATTCTCCTGCCTCAGTCTCTCGAGTAGCTAGGACCACAAGCGCACACCACCATGCCTGGCTAATTTTTGTATTTTTAGTAGAAATGGGGTTTTACCATGTTGGCCAGGCTGGTCTTGAACTCCTGACCTCAAGTGATCCATCTACCTCAGCCTCCCAAAGTGCTGGGATTACAGACACGAGCCAGCATACCCAGCTTGAGGTGCCCTCTTAAAATACTGGCCACCTTGTGCTCAGAGCACTTCTCCCCAAGCCTGGAATCTGCAGAGACAGGAAAGGACAACACAGAGACAAATGCCTGGGCTGCCAGGAAGCCACAGTGTCTGCTTTGCAAAGTCCAGCCTGTCCTCCAGGCTCTGCTGGGGCGTCTTAGAGCAACTTGAGATTTCTTAAAATACACATAGCCCTTACTCCCAAACTCATTGCCATAGCCTCTGTGAATGACAGGAGTGTGTTGCTGCCTTGAGTGTAAAGGTGAACAAAGGGTAAAAACCAACATCAGAGAAGGAGAACAAAACAGTTTTCTAGACAGAGGGGACTCCTGGGGGCAAGTTGAGCTGCACAGCCAGGCCTGTCCTGCAGAAAATCATCTTTCCCTACTCCTCTATGCGATCCCCAACATTTTATTATAGACATTTTTACAAATTTCTAGGCAGAAAAAGTAGAAAACATTCTAAAGTGCACACCTGAACAGCTACCGCCATGGCTCTACCATAACATTTCACCCACTTTGCTTTATCACACTTCCTCCCTGCACATCCATCAATCCATCTCATTTCCTGGGCATTTCAAAGAAAGCTGCAGGCACCAGAGTACTTCTTTTCGGGGAGAATTTTGCAATGCCTGTTCCGTCCTAGTAAACTGCCCGTGGGGCTCCCCCACAGCAGGACACCCCCACAGCAAGGCTTTCTCATGACAGGGCACCCCCAAATGCTTCTAACCACTTACAGAGAAGGGGTCATCCCCCTTCAGGGCTGGGCTGCTGCAGACCCCACGCAGAAGGGCGGGGGCCTCAGTCACAGAGGAGACGCTACCAGGAAGGATGGGAGTTGTGTCCAGAAGATCATGATGACAGTGTGAGCAGCGGCACCAGAACGACATACAAAAGAGTCCGGGGACAGCCAGATCAGCAGGGCCCTCTACAGGGCCATCTCAATGTTCTCCCTCTGGAGCCACCTCAGAGACTTCTTTCTCCCATAGGCGTGGGCCAGCTGGCACCAGTCCTCCTTCCAGGTATCCACACTTCCTTTCACCTGGACCTGCCTGGCTCCCCGTCATCTTCAGGTATGGGCTGGGCGGCGGCGGGGGGACACTTGGTCCCAAGGGAGAGCTCAGCCTACTGTGGTCTGGTCAGTAGCCAAGCCTCTGACCAGGGGGGAGTGGCCAAGCTGGATCCCCTGCCTGGCACCTCTCCCCTGCAGCTGTGTCTGCTTGTCAGGACTCAGCTGGCCTGGGCTTTGGCTGCCCTGAGCAGGGCCCAACATCCCTCAGGGTTGGGGTTGAGGTGCTGATATCCTTCTCTAGGGAGGTGCTCCAGGCAGGATGGAGGCAGGAATCCTACAGATGACCAGGAGCCATCGATACTTTCACCCCATTGCAGGAGCAGTCTGCCTGGGTGGGTCAAAAGGGGGCACCCTCAGACCCTTGCCCAGAGCCCAGGGCTCATGGAGAGTGCCGTTTAGGCATGACACTTCTGCATCTCTCTTGTCTGACTCCATCCTCCTCTTTCCTTTCTGCGTTTCAGAAAGGGCCCAAATAACCCAAAGTCTTAGAGCTGTGATTTTCTTTTTCTTTTTAATCTTTCTATTTCCTTTTGGGCATTTAAATATCTCCCTTGAATGAGCGTTTCATTCCCACTTCACATTTTCGTCTTCTCCAGCCAATGGGCCCCTCTAAACCCTGGAAACTCAACCCTGGGCAGAGTCTAGAATGGTCTCAGGGTGGGGCACCCAGCTCCTGTCTCCAAAGCTCCCGAGACAGGCTGTAGGTGTTTGGAGGCCAAGATCAGCCCCCCACCCCTAGGAGCCGTTCTGCCTTGCTGAGCCAAGGTCTTAGGGTACCCCCAAGGGCAGCTCAGGGATAATTGGTGCCAGAGCCACCTGTGCATACTGGGGGCCAGGGGTGGGGAGGCAGCAAAGGAGGAGCACAGGTGCCAGTATGAGCCAGCTCCCAGCTCCAGTGCCAGCTTCCAAGCCCTCCATTGTCAAGAGAGTGACAATGCCTTTCTTGGTATTGTTGTGAGGATTAAGTCGTTAAACAGGGGATTATGTAAGGAGAGTGGAGAGCTGAGAGAGTTTCAGGAAAACTCCAAATCCAGAAGGCACAGTGCTGACCCCATCCGCTACCCGCAGAAGGTGCGAGGCTGGCAGGCTGCATCCCTGGGCTTCACAGGAAATAAGATACACAGCTGGCAGAGGGTGGG